CTTCCTCTTGCAGGAACTGCTGACACACTCCAGCCACATGAGGTCTAGCATTGTCTTGCATTAGGAGGAACCCAGGGCCAACCGCACCAGCATATGGTCTCACAAGGGGTCTGAGGATCTCATCTCGGTACCTAATGGCAGTCAGGCTACCTCTGGCAAGCACATGGAGGGCTGTGCGGCCTCCCAAAGAAATGCCACCCCACACCATTACTCACCCACCGCCAAACCGGTCATGCTGGAGGATGTTGCAGGCAGCAGAACGTTCTCCACGGCGTCTCCAGACTCTGTCACGTCTGTCACATGTGCTCAGTGTGAACCTGCTTTCATCTGTGAAGAGCACAGGGCGCCAGTGGCGAATTTGCCAATCTTGGTGTTCTCTGGCAAATGCCAAACGTACTGCACGGTGTTGGGCTGTAAGCACAACTCCCACCTGTGGACGTTGGGCCCTCATACCACCCTCATGGAGTCTGTTTCTGACCGTTTGAGCAGACACATGCACATTTGTGGCCTGCTGGAGGTCCTTTTGCAGGGCTCTGGCAGTGCTCCTCCTGCTCCTCCTTGCACAAAGGCGGAGGTAGCGGTCCTGCTGCTGGGTTGTTGCCCTCCTACGGCCTCCTCCACGTCTCCTGATGTACTGGCCTGTCTCCTGGTAGCGCCTCCATGCTCTGGACACTACGCTGACAGACACAGCAAACCTTCTTGCTACAGCTCGCATTGATGTGCCATCCTGGATGAGCTGCACTACCTGAGCCACTTGTGTGGGTTGTAGACTCCGTCTCATGCTACCACTAGAGTGAAAGCACCGCCAGCATTCAAAAGTGACCAAAACATCAGCCAGGAAGCATAGGAACTGAGAAGTTGTCTGTGGTCACCACCTGCAGAACCACTCCTTTATTGGGGGTGTCTTGCTAATTGCCTATAATTTCCACCTGTTGTCTATCCATTTGCACAACAGCATGTGAAATGTATTGTCAATCAGTGTTGCTTCCTAAGTGGACAGTTTGATTTCACAGAAGTGTGATTGACTTGGAGTTACATTGTGTTGTTTAAGTGTTCCCTTTATTTTTTTGAGCTGTGTATATACAGTGCTATGAAAAAGTATTTGCCCCCTTTCTAATTTTCTCTACTTTTGCATATTTGTGATACTGAATGTTATCAGATCTTCAACCAAAACCTAATATTAGATAAAGGGAACATAAGTGAACAAATAACACAACAATTACATATTTATTTCATAAACAAAGTTATGCAATACCCAATTCCCCTGTGTGAAAAAGTAATTGCCCCCTTACACTCAATAACTGGTTGTGCCACCTTTAGCTGCAATGACTCCAACCAAATGCTTCCTGTAGTTGTTGATCAGTCTCTCACGTCGCTGTGGAGGAATTTTGGCCCACTCTTCCAAGCAGAACTGCTTTAACTCAGTGACGTGTGGGTTTTCAAGCATGAACTGCTCGTTTCAAGTCCTGCCACAACATCTCAATTGGGATTAGGTCTGGACTTTGACTAGGCCATTCCAAAACTTCCAATTTGTTGCTTTTTAGCAATTTTCATGTAGACTTGATTGTGTGTTTTCGATCATTGTCTTGCTGCATGACCCAGCTGCGCTTCAGCTTCAGCTCACAGATGGACGGTCTGACATTCTCCTGTAGAGTTCTCTGATACAGAGCAGAATTCATGGTTCCTTCTATTAAGGCAAGTCGTCCAGGTCCTGAGGCAGCAAAGCATCCCCAAACCATCACACCACCACCACCATGCTTGACCTTTGGTATGATGTTAATACTGTGGAATGCAGAGTTTGGTTTTCGCTAGGCATTACTGGAACCATGTCGTCCAAAAAGTTATACTTTTGAATCATCTGTTCATAGAACGTTCTTCCAAGAGTCTTGATGATCATCCAGGTGCTTTTTGGAAAACTTGAGTCAACTTTTTTGACGAAATGGGTCCCATTATGCCTGGCGAAAACCAAACACTGCATTCCACAGTAAGAACATCATACCAAAGGTCAAGCATGGTGGTGGTGGTGTGATGGTTTGGGGATGCTTTGCTGCCTCAGGACCCTTGAATGAGTAGGTGTGTCCAAACTTTTGACTGGTAGTGTATATATATATACATACATGCATGCATACATACATACATACATACATACATACATACATACATACATACATACATACATACATACATACATACATACATACATACATACATACATACATACATACATACATACATACATACATACATACAGTGCCTTTGGAAAGTATTCAGACCCCTTTACTTTTTCCACATTTTATTACATTACAGCCTTACTCTAAAATTGATAAAAAAAACAAAAAACTCAGCAATCTACACACAATACCCCATAATGACAAAGCGAAAACAGGTTTTTAGAAATGTTTGCAAATGTATTACAAATAAAAAAACAGAAATACCTTATTTACATAAGTATTCAGACACTTTGCTATGTGACTCTAAATTGAGCTCAGGTGTATTCTGTTTCCATTTATCATCCTTGAGATATTTCTACAACTTGATTGGAGTCCACCTGTGGTAAATTCAATCGATTGGACATAATTTGGAAAGGCACACACCTGTCTATATAAGTTCCCATAGTTGACAGTGCATGTCAGAGCAAAAACCAAACCATTTGTTCGAAGGAATTGTCCGTAGAGCTCCGAGACAGGATTGTGTCGAGGCACAGATCTGGTGAATGGTACCAAAAAATGTCTACAGCATTGAAGGTCCCTAAGAACACAGTGGCCTCCATCATTCTTAAATGGAAGAAGTTTGGAACCACCAAGACTCTTCCTAGAGTTGGCTGCCCGGCCAAACTGAGCATTCGGAGGAGAAGGGCCTTGGTGAGGGAGGTGACCAAGAACCCGTTTAATTTCTGGAGGAAACCTGGCACCATACCTACGGTGAAGCATGGTGGTGGCAGCATCAAGCTTTGGGGATGCTCAGGACGTCAGACTGGGGCAAGGTTCACCTTCCAACAGGACAACAACCCTAAGCACACAGCCAAGACAACGCAGGAGTGGCTTTTTAAAAATCTGTTTTTGCTTTGTCATTATGGGGTATTGTGTGTAGATTGATGAGGAAAAAAAACAATTTAATTAATTTTAGAATAAGGCTGTAACGTAACAAAGTGGAAAAAGTAAAGGGGTCTGAATGCTTTCCAAATCTATCTATCTATACACACACACACTACATGATTTAGCCACTCTACCATAAAGGCCTGATTGGTGGAGTGCTGCGGAGATGGTTGTCCTTCTGGAAGGTTCTCCCATCTCCACAGAGAAACTCTAGAGCTCTGTCAGCGTGACCATCGGGTTCTTGGTCACCTCCCTCACCAAAGCCCTTCTCCCCCGATTGCTCAGTTTGGCCGGGCGGCCAGCTCTAGGAAGAGTCTTGGTGGTTCCAAACTTCTTCAATTTAAGAATGATGGAGGCCACTGTGTTCTTGGGGACCTTCAATGCTGCAGAAATGTTTTGATACCCTTCCCCAGATCTGTGCCTTGACACAATCCTGTCTCGTAGCTCTACGGACAATTCCTTGGACATGGCTTGGTTTTTGCTCTGACATGCACTGTCAACTGTGGGACCTTCTATAGACAGGTGTGTGCCTTTCCAAATCATGTCCAATCAATTGGATTTACCACAGGTGGACTCCAATCAAGTCGTAGAAACATCTCAAGGATGGTCAATGGTAACAGGATGCACCTGAGCTCAATTTCAAGTCTTATAGCAAAGGGTCTGAATACTTATGTAAATAAGCTATTTCTGTTTTTTATTTTATAAAATGTGCAAACATTTCTATAAACCTGTTTTCGCTTCGTCATTATGGGGTATTGTGTGTAGAATGCTGAGGATTTTTGTTTATTTAATGTGTCAAGGGGTCTGAATAGTTTCCAAAGGCACTGTACCAGCCTCAGAAATCGGCAATTAACTGCACCTCAGATTGCGCCTCACAGAGTTCAAGTAACAGACACATCTCAACATCAACTGTTCAGAGGAGACTGCCTGAATCAGGCCTTCATGGTCAAATTGCTGCAGAGAAACCACTACTAAAGGACACCAATAAGAAGAAGAGACTTGCTTGGGCCAAGAAACACGAGCAATGGACATTAGACTGGTGGAAATCTGTCTAAATTTGAGATTTTTGGTTCCAACCGCCGTACCTTCGTGAGACGCAGAGTAGGTGAACGGATGATCTCTGCATTTGTGGTTCCCACCGTTAAGCATGGAGGAGGAGGTGTGATGGTGTGGGGGAGCTTTGCTGGTGACACTGTCAGTGATTTATTTAGAATTCAAGGCACACTTAACCAGCATGGCTACCACAGCATTCTGCAGCGATACGCCATCCCAACTGGTTTGCGCTTAATGGGACTATCATTTGTTTTTCAACAGTACAATGACCCAAAACACACCTAGCTGTGTAAGGGCTATTTGACTAAGAAGGAGAGTGATGGAGTGCTGCATCAGATGACCTGGCCACCACAATCACCCGACCTCAACCCAATTGAGATGGTTTGGGATGAGTTGAACCACAGAGTGAAGGAAAAGCAGCCAACAAGTGCTCAGCAAATGTGGGAACTCCTTCAAGACTGTTGGAAAAGTATTCCAGGTGACTACCTCATGAAGCTGGTTGAGAGAATGCAAAGCTGTCATCAAGGCAAAGGGTGGCTACTTTGAAGAATCTGAAATATATTTTGATGTTTAACACTTTTTTGGTTACTACATGATTCCATATGTGCTGGCTTCACTATTATTCTACAATGTAGAAAATAGTAAAAATAAAGAAAAACCCTTGAATGAGTAGGTGTGTCCAAGCTTTTGACTGGTCCTGTATATATATATATATACACAAAGGTATCTCTCACAACACAGTGCCAGTTCCCTATTGACCAGATAGCAGAAATTGGTTGTCTACTAATACACATTGCAGGTGAAGTCACAAGTCAATATGCAGTCCAATCAATCAAGATGTAACCAGAACAACTTCAAACTTAGTTGTGATATTCGCAAATGACTGGGACATGGAAAATGACTTCAAACAACCATTCTTGTGATGTTTTCAAGTCAACAACATGAGTGATATGATACGCACTGACCCAGCATATTTACACACAATCAAAGTGAGATGTTGATGCAGATATTTAGGCAATCCCTATTCTTTGAGGCTCTCCACATTGCTCCGGTCTGGGTGTGATTGAAGGTTTGTGTATGTGTGTATTTGTTTTTGTTTTTGGCAGGGAGCCTGATATTCCAGCATGGGCTCCCTTACTCTACCAGCTGCAGCTTCTGGACATCAGAGAGAAGCCCGACCCTCTGATTCTCCCAATCTCGGACCGTATGCGCATCGGAAACCAGAAACGAGAGCGGGGGAACTTCCACTTCCAGAGGGAGGAGTACAGCATGGCTGCCAGGGCCTACTGGATGGCTCTGGAGGTCCTTACTACACGCACTAGAGGTAATCCTTTCCTTCATCAGGTGTGTCATGCTACACACACGCAAGCATAGAGGCGTCATACCCATAGGGGGCACAGGGGCACGTGCCCTCTCAGATTTGCCCTGTTAATAAATAAATACATTTAAAAAATGGTTTATCTGTAATACTACTAGCCACCTACATATGTAGGATCTTAATTTGAGCCAGTTTGTTAAATCAGGAAGATAATCCTGTGGCAATAGGAAATTATTATGTGGATTATAATGAATGGACATTTTTGTATGCTTCGATACATTTTTCATAAGGGAAAATCAATTATGTAATTTCAAATAGGAAATTACAAACTTCAGAGGCCTTTTTAAAACCTCAAATACACTACACATTTTAAAATGTCCTGCATTGCAGGAAAGTTCTCCTGCAACAGGGTGATCAAATGAAGTTCCTACATCTGTAGCAATTTTATGAAGTTGGCTTTAGCTAGCTAGATAGGTTTCCAATCTCCCAACCTCATAACTAGCTACCAAGAAGACATTTCCGGATCAAGTTAGAGTAGCTAGCTTGTCTAACTATTTTAGCTGGCATGCCTGCTGGAAAGGTTGGTAGACTTTAGAAAAGCAAACAATTACTAAATGTACTGAATAAGACTCACATTATTTACAGATGCAGAGAAGCATATTTAGTTTCTTAAATAAATAAAAAACACCAGTCAGGTGGATACAGACAGCTCAAGAGGTATGCTTAGAGATATACAGAAAAATATACATATTTTAGTATAGAATTAAGAATAATGATTATGGCTCTAGATTGCAGGAAAAAGCTGTTTCAGGTGTTTGAAAAATTATAAATTCTCCAACTTCCGTCCCACCCCCAGCCATCCTGACATACTTTTGCCCCCTCAAATATTCATTTTACATTTACATTTAAGTCATTTAGCAGACGCTCTTATCCAGAGCGACTTACAAATTGGATATTCGGTGTGCATGACGCACCTGCGCACGCACACAGCTTTTAGTTAACTAGCACACTTCAGAAAAATACAGTTTCCACATTTCCATGCATGATAGTCTCTTCATGGCTTACTGCTAGTCCATCTCAGAACTAATCATGCTATCATAATGAGGAGGCAAATCCAGCAGAGGTCACTGTCATGAGAAATGTTATTGTTAATTCTTAATCAAACCTAATAAACGTTCTTGTTAATTCAAGGTCCTTAATAATGTTCATTGCTGGAAAGGCAGGGTGGACCCAAGAGAGACATTTAACAGAAATGTGTCAGTGAGGAGAAGAGCATGGGCTGCCTCTAAATGTATCAATGATGATGGGCCAATGGCTACATTTTCCTCAGCACTTAACAAGAAATGAATATATTCGATGCAAAAAGACTGCGAATTTAGCAGGTTAGCATTTTTCGTCATGAATCTTGTTCTGGAGGCAGCTCTGCAGATTGGGGCTGTGCCAGCAAGTGACCAAAGTCATTAAATCGAACCCTAACCTTAACCACACTGATAACCCTAACCTTAAATTAAGACCAAAAAGCTAATTTTGTTTTCATGAATTTTTACAATATAGCCAATTTTTACTTTGCAGCTGGCCCATCTAGCAGAAATCACTCAGTTCTGCTGCATGACAATGCTTGATGAGATAATGCAACAGAATATTCAGAAATTCAATACATGGCATAAAACCATCATTAAATATTTACATTCAAATTATTACTGCATATCCCAACAGATATAGGTCCCTCCCTCCATGTGTAGAAGTAGAAAATGTATATAAATTGAACTTGCATCAAAACACTGATTTACGTCTGTCGTGATCATTCACACTTGAATACACAATGGCAATGCACCAAACTTTGGATAATGATGACTTCTTCCTGGATTTGAGTGAGATGACGCAACCTTACCGTCTCTATAATATACTGTAAATCCTTGAATAACTGCTCCTTCCCCTCAATCTAATCCTAACATAGCTCTGCTAACAACAATCCCTCACAGATCTTAGACTAATAACTCTCACTTCAGCTGTAACAGAGACTTCCAAACTCACAGGAGTGTCAAAGTCAGCGCTTCCATAATGGCGTTAATGGATTTTTACTGAGGCAAACAAACACACAGATGTCCTTACAGTACATCAAATACCCAAAGTCTTTCCTCCCTTTAGTTCCTGTGAGTATATAATTCTCCCTAACACCCAGAGAGACTGGGGCTCCAAGGATATATACATGACAATAGCCCAGGTGTGAGAGGCTGTGTGGCCTGTTTCCCCCCCTGTAGATGGTAGAAGTGATGTGCTGTTGGAGGGGGAGGAGGAGGAGGTGCAGGACTACCGGGTGAAGTGTCTGAACAACCTGGCAGCGGCTCAGCTGAAATTGGAGCAGTACGATGACGCACTACACACCAGCCGGGATGTTCTGTCCCTGGATCCACAAAACGTCAAAGCCCTCTTCAGGACAGGAAAGGTGAGGGACACACTGTAACATTACCTCCCCTTCACAAATCTACGGTGCCTGGGTGGCAGGGGAATTCAATTACAAAACCCTATTCAGACATTATAGATGGGTGTAAAGATGTACTGCCATTCAACATGTACTACTGAAACATGTACAGTATACAACTGAAGGATGATTGTTGATTTAGCTGTTCAGAGATATTGCAATCTATTTGCAGCTTCTGTCAGACAAGAGCGAGTACCAGGAGGCAATGGAGATACTGAAGAAGGCCCTGAAACTGGAGCCGTCCACTAAGGTGAGATAGCCTATCTAAATGAGGTTCTCAACACCTCCACCTCTCCCTAGCCTCTAGCCTGCTAGTGAAATCCACACCCCCACAAACAGATCAAGGGTCAATGTCCACTACAGGTCCTTGAAATCATTGCCCAATCAAACACACTCAGATGACACTAGACCAGAGATTCATGATTTTATTTCCATGTCTGGAGTAGAGTGTGACTCACAGTTCACAATAAGTTTACAGAGTTATGTACTATTGCCCAATACTGCCAATGTTGAAGTACCTTTTGGCATGGGTTTGTGTTGTATTTTAAAGCACTTAGTGTTGGATTTGCACAATATAGTTCATCAAAGCAAAGCCAACCAAAGGTTTTAGAGCCTAACACTTTGCAGAGATCATTGTGTAGTGTTACTTCCATTGCCACAGTGAAGACCTGTTCTGTGTTGCTCCTAGTGCTGTCTGCTAAATTCTCTACTCAGCCACAAAGATTTAAGACCCTGATGTCACACATTGAGTGATAAAGCAAATCAACATTTTCATTCATTTAACATTTGTAATTAATTCAGTTAGTTCTAGGCCTAACTCATTATGCTAAACAACTCCAATGCTACCAAAATACAAAGTGTGAATAACAACATTTAGAAACGTTTGCCCTTGTGGGTAGAATTCAGAATATTTTGTGCTTGTTAGTTTTTTTAACCCATGCTCTGAATGTGTTTTTCTGTGGCCTCAGCCCCACTTGGCTTGACCTGCAGTGTGCACTGCTGTCGTGTTGAGACAGTCTTGTCTAGACAAAACTAAAATATCTGGTGCCTTGGTAATTACACGCTTGTCTTGATGGCGAATAAAGTAATCTTTCCCTTTAGAGACCTCATTTAGCTGTGTGGGTAAGGAATTGAAAAACAGAAACATGATTCTGAATCCGAATGATCTATAAAAGCCATTTTGGGGTATAAGTTAGACCAAAAACCAAGGGTTGGAACCAGTTCAGGGAACAGAACAGAAAACTGAAAAATAACAACATTTTTCAAGGAACAGAAACAGAACCGGAAACAAAAGTGATCCATACCGTTATTTTAAAAGCATGGGAACCGGTTAAGAACTTTATTTTACTTCCAGGCATTTTTCTCTAGCCCCACAAAAAAACGCAACAAAGTGCCTATGCAAAGCCCTCACTCTGTCACTCAGAAACATATTCCAGTGTCTGCCTGCAAGCTGAAAATGTGTGCGTTTAGGCTACCTATCTATATTCCAAATCATGTGAAATCTATAGATTAGGGCCTATTGAATTTATTTCAATTGACTGATTTCCTTATATGAACTGTAATGCAGTAAAATCTTTGAAATTGTTGCATGTTGCATTTATATTTTTTATTCAGTGTAGTTAAAGAAGAATGGATTAACTTTTTCAATGCTAGTTAAGGATACTATAGGCCTAGATATCACGTTTCACGTTGAATTTATTAACTACAAAAAGGTAAGAGGTGTTTTTAATTCTGGTGCTGCTCTGTACACACAAGCTTGTTAGCTAGCTAGCTAGCTCAAAGGACATTCAAAGTTCCTCCATAGAAGCCGCTCCTCCTAGGTATAATTATGTGGACCTAGCTATAAAAGCTTGCCAGCTTGTAGTCCTAAAACCCGGAAATAAGTTACCTCTGGTTCATTCAGCCATCCCTATGGAAAAAATGAATGGGGAAAGAATAGGGTTTTGGAATAAACGCCAAACATAAGGTTATTAACACAGTCTTAGGAGATCTTATACATTTTGTTATATGAGATAATAACAATCAGGTAACATGCCCTTTATGAATTATGAAGCCTTTGTCATTTATGTGTTTTATTATTACATAAATTCTTCAAAATTCTCAAAAAGTGAGTTAGCTGATGAAGATGATCTAGAACAAAACGTATAAGATCTCCTAAGCATGTGTTTGCCATATACAGTGAGGGAAAAAAGTATTTGATCCCCTGCTGATTTTGTACATTTGCCCACTGACAAAGACATGATCAGTCTATAATTTTAATGGTAGGTTTATTTGAACAGTGAGAGACAGAATAACAAAACAAAAATCCAGAAAAACGCATGTCAAAAATGTTATAAATTGATTTGCATTTTAATGAGGGAAATAAGTATTTGACCCCTCTGCAAAATATGACTTAGTACTTGGTGGCAAAACCCTTGTTGGCAATCACAGAGGTCAGACGTTTCTTGTAGTTGGCCACCAGGTTTGCACACATCTCAGGAGGGATTTTGTTCCACTCCTCTTTGCAGATCTTCTCCAAGTCATTAAGGTTTTGAGGCTGACGTTTGGCAACTCGAACCTTCAGCTCCCTCCACAGATTTTCTATGGGATTAAGGTCTGGAGACTGGCTAGGCCACTCCAGGACCTTAATGTGCCTCTTCTTGAGCCACTCCTTTGTTGCATTGGCCGTGTGTTTTGGGTCATTGTCATGCTGGAATACCCATCCACGACCCATTTTCAATGCCCTGGCTGAGGGAAGGAGGTTCTCACCCAAGATTTGACGGTACATGGCCCCGTCCATCGTCCCTTTGATGCGGTGAAGTTTTCCTGTCCCCTTAGCAGAAAAACACCCCCAAAGCATAATGTTTCCACCTCCATGTTTGTCGGTGGGGATGGTGTTCTTGGGGTCATAGGCAGCATTCCTCCTCCTCCAAACACGGCGAGTTGAGTTGATGCCAAAGAGCTCGATTTTGGTCTCATCTGACCACAACACTTTCACCCAGTTCTCCTCTGAATCATTCAGATGTTCATTGGCAAACTTCAGACGGCCCTGTATATGTGCTTTCTTGAGCAGGGGGACCTTGCGGGCGCTGCAGGATTTCAGTCCTTCACGGCGTAGTGTGTTACCAATTGTTTTCTTGGTGACTATGGTCCCAGCTGCCTTGAGATCATTGACAAGATCCTCCCGTGTAGTTCTTGGCTGATTCCTTACCATTCTCATGATCATTGCAACTCCACGAGGTGAGATCTTGCATGGAGCCCCAGCTTCCATTTGCGAATAATCGCACCAACTGTTGTCACCTTCTCACCAAGCTGCTTGGCGATGGTCTTGTAGCCCATTCCAGCCTTGTGTAGGTCTACAATCTTGTCCCTGACATCCTTGGAGAGCTCTTTGGTCTTGGCCATGGTGGAGAGTTTGGAATCTGATTGATTGATTGCTTCTGTGGACAGGTGTCTTTTATACAGGTAATAAACTGAGATTAGGAGCACTCCCTTTAAGAGTGTGCTCCTAATCTCAGCTCGTTACCTGTATAAAAGACACCTGGGAGCCAGAAATCTTTCTGATTGAGAGGGGGTCAAATACTTATTTCCCTCATTAAAATGCAAATCAATTTATAACATTTTTGACATGCGTTTTTCTGGATTTTGTTGTTGTTATTCTGTCTCTCACAGTTCAAATAAACCTACCATTAAAATTATATACTGATCATTTCTTTGTCATTGGGCAAACGTACAAAATCAGCAGGGGATCAAATACTTTTTTCCCTCACTGTACCTCATTTTTCGGCGTTTATCCAAAAACACCATTCCTTTTCCTCATAGGCTTTGTCCAACAAACCATGGCGGAGTTGGTGCCTACAAAAATACGCCATTACTATTTATCTCTATTCAGATAATGCATATCATTACAAGATGCCCAGCGCTTCAAGCCTCTTCCTCAACCCTCTCTCAGGTAATGGCTAGAAGGGATCCTGCTTTATTTATTTATTTATTTTTTGCATTTTAGCTAACCCCTCACCCTTTTCCTACCTTAACGTAATTCTCCTAACCTGCTACGTTAATTATCCTAACCTGCTGCGTAAATTCTCCTAACCTGCTGCGTAAATTCTCCTAACCAGCTACAAAAAGTCAAATCTGACGTTAATTGGACAAAAGCTGGATCCCTTCTAACTAACACCCCTCTCTCGCTCTCTCCCCACCCGCAAAATTTCAGTCGCATCTTGCGCCATAGGCTACACTTGTCTGTCCATCAAGCATGTTAACAACTAGCTTGCCTGTTCTAGCCGCACTGATTGGTGAAGTAATTTAATGAGCTAAATGAAGAAAAGAAAACTGTTGATTTCACAGATTAAAAAAGGAACAGAAAGGAATGATATAACCGGTACTTTATTTTATTTGTGTGGTTCGAACCGGTTCATAACTTTATTTGGCAGGTCGGAACAGTGTAATGGAATGAAAAAAAATTGTGGTTGTGTTCCGAACAAAACGATTGGGAAATAATTTCAGTTCCAACCCCTGCCAATAACAGTTCGTTTTCAGGTTACACATCCCTCCCATTAGGCTACCAAGACCCTATAGTGGTCCAAATGCAAAGAAATGCTAAATAAAGTAGGCTACAAAACATAAGACAACTTTGATTATGAGAGCTTAACAGGAAACTGGTTAATATTTGTTGTCTAATATTTGTTGAAAATACTTTTTATGCTAGAAAGATAAACTAAATTTGATTGTCAACGTTAGGGGATCTGATTCAATTGTAAAGTCCAACTATGGCTTGAGCCGGAGATTGCATTTAATATGATCTATGCTGTCATCTACTGGACAACTCCTAAACTACAACCTCATACTCAATGACAATCCACCCAGCCCTCTTTACTGCTAAAATACTTAACCTAGACCACTTTACTGCTAAAATAATAAATTGTATTGTACAAGATTGTGCATAAGGTTATTAGGATAAGTAGTCACCACAGTCTCTCTTTCCCTTCCCAGGCCATCCATGTTGAGTTGTCCAAGCTAGTGAAAAGGCAATCAGGAGGCAAAGATACCCAGAAGTGGCAAGCCAAACCTGCCCGGCTCCTTGGAGACAATATTGCTCCTTTTCTGACTCCTTCTAAAAAGAAGCCACCTGTAAGCCACTGAGAACTTTCCCTGAGTGAAATGTTTAGGTTTAATTCAGTTCACGAGAAAAATACATTTGACTGTTTGTTGACATTGCGTCACTTGGTGTTTCAGGGAATTTCATGGACGTTCCTGCTTGGTGCTCTGGTGGTGGCCTTGGGCAGTTTAGTGACGTCAGTGGTTCTCACTGCAAGAAACTGACGTCCTCTACAAAGGAACTGTCCTCTAGCTCATGAATACTAAACTGAGTTGTCTACTGTGAATAAAATGAAATAAAGATTGCACTGAACGATGGAAAAACCTGTATCAATGTTCACTGACATATTGTAGCAGCACCGACATTTACACCACAGATTGTATTTATTTGAGCGTAACAGAGTAAACTAATGGCACTTCTTCCAAAGAATATATATTTATTTTTTTTACAAAACAATGACCACAAAATAGCTTTGTGATGTAATCGTATAGTACAGTTATTAGCTGATATATGTCCCCAAATCCATAGAAAAATGCCCAAATCCCCAAACTCATTCTGGAATAGTCAATTGTTCAATGTTCAATGTTCCTCAACAAAAGATTGAGGAGAGCAGTATTCTCGTGTTACAGCTTTTAAATGTCTTGTATGATTGAGGGGTTTCTGTAATAACAGGTTATGTGTCCCAGTTCATTTTATCTATGTCAATGGAAAATCTAATAAAAATTGTAGGCCTACTGTCCGTTGATACAGAAACAACATCAATAAAGCTGCATACTGTAATAGCTATATTCCAGTCATTGTTTATAACGGAGGGGTGGATGGGGGTGGGTTCTGCCAATGAAGTATATACAGTGCATTCGGAAAGTATTCAGACCCTTCCCTTTTTCCACATTTTGTTACGTTACAGCCTTAATCTAAAATATATTAAATAAAAAAGGGTCTTCATCAATCTACACACAATACCCCATAATGACAACGCAAAAACAGGTTTTTAGAAATGTTTGCAAATGTATAAAACATAAAAAACAGATACCTTATTTACATACAGTACCAGTCAAAAGTTTGGACACACCTACTCATTCCAGGGTTTTTCTTTATTTTTGTACAATTTTCTACATTGTAGAATAATAGTGAAGACATCAAAACTATGAAATAACACATATGGAATCATGTAGTAAGCAAAAAAGTGTTAAACAAATCAAAATATATTTTCTATTTCAGATTCTTCAAATAGCCACCGTTTGCCTTGATGACAGCTTTGCACACTCTTGGCATTCTCTCAACCAGCTTCACCTGGAATGCTTTTCCAACAGTCTTGAAGGAGTTCCCACATATGCTGAGCACTTGTTGGCTGTTTTTCCTTCACTCTGCGGTCCGACTCATCCCAAACCATCTTAATTGGGTGGAGGTCGGGGGATTGTGGAGGCCAGGTCATCTGATGCAGCACTCCATCACTCTCCTGCTTGGTCAAATAGCCCTTACACAGCCTGGAGGTGTGTTGGGTCATTGTCCTGTTGAAAAACAAATGATAGTCCCAGTAAGCCCAAACTAGATGGGATGGCGTATCACTGCAGAATGCTGTGGTAGCCATGCTGGTTAAGTGTGCCTTGAATTCTAAATAAATCACAGACAGTGTCACCAGCAAAGCACCCCCACAGCATAACACCTCCTCCTCCATGCTTTACAGTGGGAAATGCACATGCGGAGATCATCCGTTCACACCACGTCTCACAATGACACGGCGGTTGGAACCAAAAATCTCAAATTTGGACTCCAGACCAAAGGACAAATTTCCACCGGTCTAATGTCCATTGCTTGTGTTTCTTGGCCCAAGCAAGTCTCTTCTTCTTATTGGTGTCCTTTAGTAGTGGTTTCTTTGCAGCAATTCGACCATGAAGGCCTGATTCACACAGTCCCCTCTGAACAGTTGATGTTGAGATGTGTCTGATACTTGAACTCTATGAAGCATTTATTTGGGCCGCAATTTCTGAGGCTGGTAACTCTAATGAGCTTATGATCTGCAGCAGAGGTAACTCTGGGTCTTCCATTCCTGTGGCGGTCCTCATGAGAGCCAGTTTCATTATAGCACTCATTCCAGGGTTTTTCTTTATTTTTAGTATTTTCCATATTGACTGACCTTCATGTCTTAAAGTAATGATGGACTGTCGTTTCTCTTTGCTTATTTGAGATGTTCTTGCCATAATAGGGCTATCTTCTGTATTCCCCCCCCTACCTTGTCACAACACAACTGATTGGCTCAAACGCATTAAGAAGGAAATAAATTCCACAAATTAACTTTTAAGAAGGCACACCTGTTAATTGAAATGCATTCCAGTTGACTATCTCATGAAGCTGGTTGAGAGAATGCCAAGAGTGCGCAAAGCTGTCATCAAGGCAAAGGGTGGCTATTTGAAGAAACTCAAATATAAAATATATTTGATTTAACACTTTTTTGCTTACATGATTCCATGTGTTTTCATAGTTTTGATGTGTTCACTATTATTCTACAATGTAAAAAATTGTAAAAATAAAGAAAAACCCTTGAATGAGTAGGTGTGTCCAACCTTTTGACTGGTAGAATAAGTATTCAGACCCTTTGCTATGAGACTCGAAATTGAGCTCAGGTGCATCTTGTTTCCATTGATCATCCTTGAGATGTTTCTACAACTTGATTGGAGTCTACCTGTGCTAAATTCAATTGAGTGGACATGATTTGGAAAGGCACACACCTGTCTATATAAGGTCTCACAGTTGACAGTGCATGTCAGAGCAAAAACCAAGCCATGAGGTCTAAGGAATTGTCCGTAGAGCTCCGAGACAGGATTGTGTCGAGCCACAGATCTGGGGAAGGGTACCAAAACATTTCTGCAGTATTGAAGATCCCCAAGAACAGAGTGGCCTCCATCATTCTTAAATGGAAGAAGTTTGGAACCACCACGACTCTTCCTAGAGCTGGCCGCCCGACCAAACTGAGCAATTAGGGGAGAAGGGCCTTGGTCAGGGAGGTGACCAAGAACCAGATGGTCACTCTGACAGAGCTCCAGAGTTCCTCTGTGGAGATGGGAGAACCTTCAAGAAGGACAACCATCTCTGTAGCACTCCACCAATCAGACCTTTATCGTAGAGTGGCCAGACAGAAGCCACTCCTCAGTAAAAAGCACATGACAGCCCACTAAAGGACTCTCAGACCATGAGAAACAAGATTCTCTGGTCTGATGAAACCAAGATTAAACTCTTTGGCCTGAATGCTAAATGTCACGTCTGGAGGAAACCAGGCACCATCCCTACCGTGAAGCATGGTGGTGGCAGAATCATGCTGTGGGGATGTTTTTCAGCGGCAGGGACTGGGAGACTAGTCAGGATTGAGGGAAAGATGAACGGAGCAAAGTACAGAGAGATCCTTGACAACAACCTGCTCCAGAACACTCAGGACCTCAGACTGGGGCGAAGGTTCACCTTCCAACAGGACAACGACCCTAAGCACACAGCCAAGACAACGCAGGAGTGGCTTTGGGACAAGTCTCTGAATGTCCTTGAGTGGCCTAACTAGAGCCCGGACTTGAACCCGATCGAACATCTCTGGAGAGACATGAAAATAGCTGTGCAGCGATGCTCCCCATCCAACCTGACAGAGTTTGAGAGGATCTGCAGAGAACAATGTGAGAAACTCCCCAAATACAGGTGTGCCAAGCTTGTAGCGTCACACCCAAGAAGACTCAAGGCTGTAATCGCTGCCAAAGAAGCTTCAACAAAGTAGTAAGTAAAGGTTCTGAATAGTCATATAAATGTGATATTTCATTTTTAAATTGATAATACATTTGCTAAAATTGTCTTGATGGGGTATTGTGTGTAGATAGATGACAGTTTTGCAGAATTGAAGACAATTTAATCAATTTCAGAATACGTCTAATGTAACAAAATGTGGAAAAAGTCAAGGGGTTTGAATATTTTCCAAATGCAATGTATAAACACTGGATCACTGATGCGATGTATTGGCCAATTAGAGGCTTTGAATCCACCAGTCGCCATATTGGTACTCCCCAGAAGGAGCAGTCCTCCATAGGAATGAACGGAATTCTACAGTATTTCAATAAAATGACAAAATTATAAGTATTTTAGTATTTCTTTGTTGATGTGGGGACAGTCCCATTAGTACTAAAAAAATAATTTAAGGAATCGTTTTTTATATAAACATTTTTTTTAAATGTTCAGTTCAAATAATGTAATTTAAAAGTATGCATTAAGGCAGTGGTCACCAACCTTTTCTGAGTCAAAATGCAAGCAGAGATCTACCACTCAGATGTATTTTAAATATGACTTAAAAATCGTAAGCCTATGCAACATTAACCAATTAAAAACAGTTAGGTAGCAATGAGGTTTGTGCAGTAGGCTATATGCCCAATACATTATCACTATGCTTGAATTGCCCTGCCAATGTTGTTTTTCTCAGACTATATTTCTAAATTGTAGGTATATGATCACACTGGTAATAGATCATTTGTTATTACTTGTGAGGCACAGCTGAGTGAGCATAATATTATGATTTTTTTTTAGAGGACTGATGGCCTGCATCTGATGGTCAGTCTGAGGGGAGGGAAGGGGAACAGCGGTGAGGCTGCCTGTCACCTGACTCATGTCCCTCGGCTCTCCCTACCTCCGCTGAGAAAAGGGGAAACTTAAGTCGCACTGCATTATTTCTGCCTCATGCACCAATTCATGTCGTTACTCCTATGACCAGAGACAGTGAAATATTCCTAGATATTAAAAAAGGCACAAGCTGCAAATAATAACAACGCAAACTTATTGAAACACTTTGCTATACTCATTAATTGAAGCTGCAGTGCTGGTTGGAGCCTATGCGGAAGTAGTGAGAATGAGCATTTTATGGCTTATAAAAATTTTGAACAAAGTGTTGACAGTGCTGAATAACAACTTAAACATGAACTTACTCATAAAAACAGCAGCTCTTTGCTGTATTCGTTGAGTCTCTCTCTAGTAATGATTTTAAAAGTTTTTAAATCTCACATTATCAACTTTGGTGAGTTCGAGGATTCTTTTTAACTCAATTCGCCTTTGCACTCCTAAACAACGCAATTTTTAAAAACTTTGGCAAAGGGTCAATTCTACAAAACGTAGTCCACTCTATTCATAACAGATTCTAGTTTTCCAGAAAACTGTATTGAAGTCAAATGTTTAATCGATGAGAAAATCCATCTTCTTCCATCTTCTCCCACTGCCGGCCACTGGGCCTTCCTCTCACTACCATATTTGGTAGTGAGTGGAAACGCCAAGCGGATGCTTCACATTTATACATCCTGTGAAATATCTGTCTCATTGTTCTGTCTGTGGCTTTACCGTTGGAGGAGTAACAAAATGGCTGCGTGGTGGCTTCAATACAGCGTCCCCTGTCAGTCATCCAGGGTTTGTACACATAATTGGATACTGCC